TGGCAATTTCATAATTATTGAGAAGTCTCGTCGCGTTTATGAATGTTCAGATCTGACGATTGTAAATCTAATCCAAGGGTTGAGAATTGGTTTTACAGGTCTCACGAAAAACCATTGGTGTGACATGATCCCAAGTCTATATATATATATATATATATAGAGAGAGAGAGAGAGAGAGAGAGAGAGAGATGTTGGTTATTATACAACCTTTGACATTTGTGCAACCAATACAACCCAATCTCAATCGTCCATTTCATTTTTATAATCCTCATGGTGTCACCTCATCACCCCAAAGTTTTAATTATATATATATATATAAAGATATAATAGTATAATAAATTTTGTACTATATTTTCTACCATTTGGTTTGATTGGTTTACAACCATGGTTATAAATTTCAAATAAGATCATCCAAAGAAAGACAACCCTATAAGGCAAACCCCATATTTGACACAAAGACATCCAATCTACATTTCTTATACACTTCATATTCTTCAAAATTTTCAATTCTTCACCAATGTGGGATATCTTAAACTCAACCACAATTCACCAACACCTCAATACTCAATTCTCATGATGCCACCTCAATACTCTTGGTTCTTCCTTTAATATATATATAGATTAAAAGAATAATTTTTTATACTTAACAAAAGACAAATTGTATGAAAAAGTAACGTACTTTATCTTGATTCTTATTTTGGGTAACGTACTTTTAAAACTTACATTTTGGTACCTAAAAGGTAAAGTTTTAAACATTTAAGTACTTGGGTAATTGGTTGAAGCATTAACCGGTTATCATGCTGATGTGGTGAGTGATATAATATTCAACTCAGTATTATTTGCTGACGTAGTTAGTGACATGAATTTTTTTTAATCTAAAGTTAGTCTTTCAACCTGTTACGCGGATACTTAAATGTTAAAAAACTTTACATCTTAGGTACCAAAATGAATGTTTTAAAATGTACGTTACCTAAAATAGGAATCAAGTTAAAGTACGTTATTTTTCATCATTTAATAAATAATAAAACTTCAGTAAATGGTTTTAATAAAATATTTAAATATTTAATTCAATTTTTAATTATTGTGTTTTTAAAGAATTTTTATTTAATTAAAGATATACGGTTGGCAAATTTTATTTTCATTCATATTATATGTAACGATTATTTAAAATAATCAATTAACGTAAACTTTTTCTATATTTTGTATTTGGTTACACACACTCACATCTATGTGTGTGTACTTTTTATGAGTAAAATACGATTTTGCTATGTAACGTGATTTGGGTCATCGAAATAAAATGGCGTTTTTTAACAAGACCCTTTCACAATGCGACTTGGATTTCCGTCACATCAGTGGATAGTTAATCGTACAACATGTTTTGATGCATCTTGGGTGGATTACTGTTGCAGTCCAGGAGGCGGATTTTGCTCGTTTTTATTATCTTTCCGCTCGAGTTTTGGGTGGTTTAGTTTCCAACTCTAGTTCGTCCGACTTGTGGGTTCTCTGCTTGCTTTGGTTCTGTTTTCTGCTCGAGTTTTGGATGGTTCTGTTTCGGCTTAACTTTGTCTGGTTTTTGGGTCTCGAGTGGGTCCGTCGGAGCATGGGCTTATGGAATTTGGTCATGTTTGGGTTGTGTTTAGGTCCTGCATCTTTTGGTTTTTGTGGATTGTGGTTGTTTTTGGCCTTTTGGTAGGTTTTGTTTGGGTTCTGCATCTTGCAGAAATGGTTGTTTTGGATGTGTTTCTTGTTTGTCTTTGGTGGCTTGTAAATATGAATGTATATAGCTACTACACCCTGTTTTAAACAAGACTCTGTAGCGAAAATTTGGGGTGCTTAAAAATCCGACCAATCTGATCAATCCGACCCTACTCAAGCTGAAATAACCTGAAGCAACCTGATCCTAATGGAGTTGTAGAATCTTTAAGACGTATATATTGGGTTAAATATTGAGTTACTTTTATTTGAACCGAATCCAACCTCATGAATCAAATATTTTTTTAATTATTGGATTTAGTATGGTTGTTGAGTCTTGATTAATATGTACATTAGATAATTACACCATCATGTACATATATTTTTAATTTATTCTCCGTCTCTATATAACTCCTTTGTATTATATATATATAGAGAGAGAGAGAGAGAGAGAAAGAGAGAGAGAGAGAGAGGATGTTTACTTTGCAAAATCATGTTATTTGTACAAACCGTACAAACCTCATTCAACCAATCATAATTTTGTTCATTTTTTGTAATTATGAGAGGTTGATTAATCATTTTTATTGTGAAGGGTGTTAATCATTAATATTATCATCTTCATTATATTAATTTTAGAGAAATAATGAAACAGTTTCATTAAAATTTCATAAGTATTATATGAAACAATTTCATAACCATATATGAAACAACTTTATCAAAAAAAAAATTATATGAAACAATTTCATAAGGTTAAACAATTTCATGAAAAAATTATATAAGATCAAACAATGAAATCGATGGATGAGTATGGTTTACACGGTTTGTACAAATATTGGTGGTTTGCATTTGATCGCTCTCTCTCTATATGTGTGTATGTGTGTGTGTGTGTGCTTGTGTGTTGTAAGATTCCACATTGGTTGGGGAAAGGAACAAAGGACTTGATACCTCATCTATCATATGCGCTTTAAAACCGTGAGTCAAGGTGTGTAGACAAAATGGACAATATCTGATACGGTTGGCCCGGGATGTTACATATGGTATCAAAGCTGGGAACCTGACTAGTATGGGTTGGCCTCCCAAGGGAGTGGATTATAAGATCCCACATTGGTTGGGTTATAATATGTGTGTGTGCTTGCGCGTACATGCAAATTGAGAAAATTAATTGAATATGATATACCTAAGCTTTAAAAAATATGAATAAGTTATACCAAATGGTTGATGATGAAAAAGAAATTATGAGTACAATAGAGAAACAACATATTCATGGTTAATATAATATTTTGATGTACAAGGTATCAACCCAACCAACCCGTAATTTAAAAAACCACTCAAGCAAATAACTTCTTGATCCATACAGACAGATTGATCAACATAGACATCTTAAGTTTAATCCATACAAGACTTAATGGAAAATCAACCAAACAACCCCGAGAGCAATCAAAGAACCAAGGGATCGTACCGTCTGATCATATAACAACAATCATGTCGAATGACGGAAATGAAACAGAACTCCAGTATATCTCACCTGAACGTGAGGTCTAAGACAACATGTATACAGACTTGACATCTACGTGACAAAATGGATGAGCCTTTCATTCTCCAATCCGAAATCGTATACAATGTTACATAACCAAACAAATCGACAACCATATCATTTCCGACAATTTTATTCGTCATCAAAGACGGTCGGGATGATAGAAAACATGAAAAATATGCTATATCGTAAGAAATCTTCATCGTAATCGTGCAATCCGAACATATAACGATAAATATATTGTCCAAGAAAAAAAGCAACGGAATTGAAGAACTTCAAACCTTACGATCAAGCTGCAACCGGTGTCTTCCGGTTCGGCTCAAACACAAACTTCACGAGCGATTCCTTGATCGACAAAAGCTCGGGAAACTCGGTTTTCAACTTGGTGGTATCGAGTTCGTTGTTGCTTCTCGGAGCCACGATCACTTTCGCTTGCTCCTCGAGATTGAAGTTTTTCCACGTGAAACTCGAGTCGATGTACTCACGGTACATCTCCAATACCTCGTTGTGGCTAACGCAACCGGGGTTTGTGAAGTTGTAGATCCCGGTGAGGTTGCGTTTCGCCATTTCAATGGAGATCGGGAGGAGCTCGTCTAGAATGGTCATGGAGTTCGGGATGTTTACCACTTTCTCGTAACGACTGATCTTTGTGATGAAGTTTCGAGGGTTCGTGAGATCGGAAGAGATCGGCATTCTTACCCGCAGCGTGCATACGTTATCGTACTCTTTGAGCAATTCCTCGACCTGCAGATCGAACAACGACGAATACGTTATCGTAGTTTTTAACCGAGCTTTTAGTCTTCAAATTACACATCAGGATCTTAGATTTATCAAACAAAAACATCATAAAGCACAAAACCATCAAAAACAATCATTGCATATATCTTCAAAATCATACAAAAATTCAACAAATAAGAATAACAAGTTTTATAAGAATACATGGAACCCCAGATTAATTTCCAAAAGAGCCCTTGAAGATAGAACGGAGGTTTACAACATATATAAATTGCATGAAAAAGTAACGTACTTTAACTTGATTCCAATTTTGGGTAACGTACTTCCAAAACTTCCATTTTGGTACCTAAGTTGGAAAGTTTTAAACATTTAAGTACCCGGGTAACCAGTTGAAGCATTAACCGGTTATCATGCTGATGTGGCAAATGATGTGGTATCCAGCTCAGTATTATTTGCTGATGTGGTTAGTGACATGGATTTTTTTAATCTAAAATTAGTCTTCAACCAGTTACCCGGGTACTTAATGTTTAAAACTTTACATCTTAAGTACCAAAATGGAAGTTCTAAGAGTACGTTACCTAAAATAGGAATCAAGTTAAAGAACATTACGTTTTTCATGCAATTTGCTCCAAAATAATATATATGCCGATGAAAAAGCTTGGATTTTTCTTGAATTTGCACATCAAGATCTTGGATCCTCTACAATTTCATCATCAAATTCAAACAAAAATATCATAAAAGAACAAAATAATCAAAAGGGTTGTTGCACAAATCTTCCAAACTAGATTCATGTTAATAAAAGTCGAATCGTGAAGTAAATACCAAGTCTTCTTACGATTCATCATGGTTTTACGCTTTACGTGATCTTATCATTTATGTGTGTCCTAATTCAAGTAAAACATAACAACACCCACCCGTGAAATGAGATACAAAATAGTGTGTGTGTGTGTGTGTACGCCAATGAAAGGTCGGATTTTTCTTCAAAATGTGCATCAAGATCTTAGATCCACAACATTTTTCTTCAACAATCTCACACGAAAAATATCATAAGAACACAAAGGGGGCGTTTGGGATTTTGCTTATTTGGAACAACTTAAAAGTCCTTATCAACTTATTATAAGTTAGAATGGTTTAACTTCTTCAAAAACTCCTTATTACCGGTTTGGCACCGGTAGAAGTTGTTTATCCRAACACTCAAAAGTGCTTATTACCGGTGTAACGTCGGAATAAATCAATAAGTTGTTTTTATAAGCAATCTCAAACACCCCCAAAATAAGCAAAAGGGTCTTTGCACAAATCTTCAAAATCGTACCAGAGTTTAATGAAGTTGAATCTTGAAGTTAATACCAAGTCTTCTTACACTGATTTTACTCTAGTTAATCTTTTCATCTCTTTGGATCCTAATTCGAGTAAAACATAACACCGACTCATGAAATGAGACACAAAATAGCTCAAAATATCAACGAGAGCCTGGATTTTTCTTTAAATGTGCATCAAGATCTTAGATCTACAACGATTTCTTCAACAAATTCACACAAATATATCATAAAAACACAAAATAAGCAAAAGGGTCGTTGCACAAATCTTCAAAATTGTACCGGATCTTATTAAAAATCGAATCTTGAAGTGAATACCAAGTCTTCTTACCATTTATCATGGTTTTAACTCTTTAGTCAATCTTTACATTTATGTGGGCCCTAAATTATAAGTCTCATACAAGGAAAACATAGCACCAAATCACCCAATGAGACACAAAATTGAACATATATATACATATATATATATATATATACATACACCACTGAAAGCTTGGATTCTTCTTTAAAAATGCACATCAAGATCTTAGATCCACCATAATGTCATCAATAAATTCACACAAAAATACCATAAAAACACAAAACCATAGGTGGGTCATTGCACAAATCTTCAACATTATTACTGAACTCTAAGAAAAACCAAATCTTGAAATAAAATAGGTGGGTCCCAACCTAAAAGATAACATAAACCCATGATTTTAGGCACAAAATTCAATAAACCAATGAAAAGGTTAGGTCTGTCATCAAAATTTCACATCAAGAACTCATAAATCACCTCAATTTTTCAAGAAATTCACACATGAATACCATCAGAATACAAAATCATTTCATAGATCATCAAAATCTTACAAAGATTTATATGAAAATTAAGCCTTGAAATAGAATTTTAGGCACAAAATTGAATAAACCAATGAAAAAGTTAGGTTTGTCTTCAAAATTACACATGAAGAACTAATAAATCACCTCATTTTTCAAGATATTCACATATGAATACCATAAAAGCACAAAATCATTTCACAAATCATCAAAATTTCACCAAAATTTATACAAAAATTAAGTCTTGAAATAGAATTCTTACCATAGCTTTAGTCTTGGAGTAGAAAGATCCGATGAAATTCGGAGTATCCTCTTCCTTAAACCCGACACCCGACCCGAGTTGATGCTCCGAATCATACTCAAATATACAACCAGTAGCATAATTAATCAAAATCAACCCCTTTTCACGGCAAACGTCGGCGAGAGTTAGAGTTCCGACGACATTAGTACGGATAGTCTCCACCTTGTGTGACTCACACCAGTCAACGTTTGGTCGGCCGGTAACTCCGGCGGCGTTGAATACATGACTAGGGTTAACGGCGGCGAGGTCGGCGATGAGGGTTTCGCGCGACTCGAGACGGCCGGAGCCGTAGGTGTAATCAATGCCTTGAGCTTCGCAAAGTTTGCCCAATAAACCACCAATCCAACCGGTTCGACCGTAGATCAAGAACTTTAATGGAGACGCCGGCGAACCGTTGGATTGGGAACCCATTTGGAGGTGAGGTAAAAGAGAAGATCTTCCGATCTGTCTCCGGCGGATCTCTCTAGTTTATAGGAGGAGTGAGATTCGCCAGCTGTGTTTATCTGTGTCGGTGTGGATTGAAGTTGGTTCCAAGATGAAATTACCATACAATGATTAAGAGAGTAAATTATATTTTTAGTCCCTGTAATTTGTTGAAAAGAGAAATGTAAATTACATTTTTAGTCCCTGTAATTTGTTGAAAAGAGAAATGTGGTATGACGTACAAATCTGATTAAAAACCGACACCGACTGATACTGATGTCACAACAGTTGAGATGATGTGACACCCGATATCTTTGTTTCGTGCCAGATAGGTAATTGGATATTTTCGGTGCAATTCTTCCTCTTTGGCACGAAACAAAGGTACACGCGTCAGATCATCTTAACTTTTGTCGTGTCAAATGTTAGTTGATGTTGGTTTTTTTTTTGAAATATATAGTATTTATATATGGTAAATAGAACAAATAAACTTGCACACCCTTCTCATATTTGATGATGTTTGAACCCCTGATCTTTTAGGAAGCCAAACACTCACATACCATGGGTGTGTTGGTTTGGTGAGACAAAGCAATATCAAAATACTGTGTTGAGGACGGTGTAGGGTTACAGGATTTTTTTTTTAAACTGAATATTGAATTCAATGTTAATGGTTTGGTTGATAATGTTGGTTTAAGTGGTCTAATTCGTTAATGCTTATAAGGTAGGTGTTACTATAATCTCGATGTGTAATCAAAGTGTTTCGAAGGACGGGTTGAGTAGAATTGATGCATTAAGGGATTGAAGTGTGATGCTCGTTTGATAATGAAAACTGGAACCAAAATTGTCGAGGTTGCTAGTTCGAATAAAGTAATGATCTTGGTTTAAAGGATACTAGATGTGTAAGAGTATTCTCCCTCACCTACTGGGTAAGATTCTCGATCAGTATCATGCTCACCCAGTAAGCTAAATAATATTTAGTAAGTGTTTGGTAAATGTCCCATTAGTAAATTTTCAAAGTTTTTCTTCCGGATATAGTTGCAGGAGTTGAACAGAGTATGAAAACAAAAGGTCAGTAAAAATCAAATTAAAAAGTCAATTAAGAACTTGACATGACAGTTCACATCACAGTCAACTTAAAAATGAATTTCCAATTTAGTCAACTGTTACTTGCCATACAAGTACTCGGTTCATTTTGGTAGTGAAAAAAAAAGCGAAGGTTGGTTATTTCTTGAAGTCGACAACTCGAACTCTTGATCCTGATTCATGATTTGTTCTACTGTCTGTCTATCTTGATTTGTTCTACGGTTTTGTGTGTTTTTGAGATAGTAAGAGAGTCTTTGACTGTTACCAGATTTATAGAGCATTATACTGTGTTAGCAAGATTCAAAACTTGTCTTGTATTTGAACATTTTTATATTAACCTGGATATCTAACCCGCTATGCGAGCCGACTAATTCTAGGACGACTATCTGCTTTGTGGGTAGCCCTGAATAACCGCATTTGGACCTTCGTGGCCACAAGAGGATTATTATTCCTTATTGGATTTGAACCTGAGACCTCCAGATATTTTGACCTTTGACAAGGGGATTTTTATTTCTCTTTGGATTTGAACATACTTATTTTATATTATTAAGTAAAAATGTTGAACTTTATAAAAATTATTAGTATACAATAATAAATATAAAATTAAAATTTTAACAATATTTTAAAATACATAGGTTGTTTGTTTACTTATGTTTGGCAACAACAAAAAAGTTTGTCTCTTAATGGTTCTAAAATCATCTAAATGATCTTGCATCATGGGTCTCCCTTAACTATTCAGCGCCCTAATTTCATTGTAAACAATTACCAAACAATTAGATTTCATTTTGCACTACATCATGAAGGTCTCTTAATCATTCTATACCAAACCATTTAACACCTATCAAACAACCCCTGAGTTAAGTGTGTTATAATCAAAGTACATACTTCATGTGACTATACTCATAATCAACAATTTTAAAATCCAGTTAAAAAATCGATATAGGTATCAAATTAAAGTGGATAATATATCGTTTTTATATAATTTATTTTATTTAAAAAATTAAAAATATTTAAAAGAATTTAGATTAAAAATACGAGGTAAATTTATATAGTTTATCAGTTAATCTTATAAAGTTTAAAAAATTATATATATAACCCACAATAACTAATAGACTTAAATTTTAAAATAATTACATTAATAGACGAATAATCGTGTGAGAAGAACAGTTAATGTGAGAAATGTAAGAATGAATTAAGTGCATCTCATCTTAATGTGTATCTAAGGGTGGAGATCTCTTATTATGCTTCTCATCGAAACCCAACTCTGTATCAATAATTTTGACAAAAAAATTAGAATTTTGGCCCCTGTTGCCATTCATTAATAACTCTCGTCTTTATTTTGAACTGATTTTAACTTTAATCATTATGGTTACCATTTTGTTTTACTTTTGGTCCCTCCAACCAACGCTCGTTAAAACCCGATGGGGTAGGGATTCATGGGACTTTAGAATTGGGGTGTGCAAAACCCGAATTATCAGAAATCCAAACCCAAAGCAGAACCGAAAATAAGGTATTTATGTAAAACCCGAATGCCTCAAAGTTCGAAAACCGACTTTTTGGAGAAAATTCGAGTTATGGGAACGATTGATGCACACCCCTCCTCCATAGAGGTGTTTTTGGGAACGATGGGATGCATCAAGTGTTAAAATGTTTAAACAATATATAATAATCTTTTCGAAAAAAATAATATGGAATATAATATAATAACTAGAAGCGTACTCGCGCAATGCAGCGGGATACATTGTGATTTTAATATTTCATTTTATTCTTTATCTCAGTCAATGTTATAATATGGCTTTATATGATTTTGAGAAAGCGATGATGTTTTTATT